GATTTTGGAAAACTCTTTTTAAGATTCTAAAGGTGGATATAAACTTATCTTTGACCTTTCATCCTCAAATTGATGGACAAACAAAGTGTATAAATAAAGATTTGGAACAATTCTTAAGGTATAGTATGAATTATCAACAAAATGATTCGAGAACTCTCTTGCCATTAGCAAAGGTTGCTTGTAATAATATGATGCATTTTTCTATGCAACAAACACCTTTCTTTGCCAATTATGATTACCATCGACAAATTAATATTTTTGACTTTTTAAAAGTTGATAATCTTATGATTGAAGGTTTGGCAAATTATTTATTTGAGCTACATGCGAGACTGAAGGTACAATTAAAGAAAGCTTAAGAATGACAAAAGATCAATGTAGATGCCTATCAAAAAGAACAACCACAATTTAATGTAGGTGACAAGGTATAATTACTTTGTTGTAATATCAAGACTACTTGTCTTTGTGATAAGTTGGATTATCACAGTCTTGAATTTTTTCTTAATTATAGATAAATCAATCTAATTGCTTATTGATTACATCTATCAGAGTTAATGAAGACCTATCATGTCTTTCACATATCTCTTTTTGAACCATACAAGACTATGAATATATCCAAAAGAAGATAAGTCTCTCTTCTTTCTATAGAAGTGAGCAAAATCAAGAATTCAAAGTGGAAGAAGTTCTAGACTCAAGGCTGCGCCATAATAAATTAGAATATCTTATCCATTGGCGCAGATATGATATTAGTGAATGCACATGGGAGCCACTAAAGAATCTTGTAAATGTAGCAAAGATAGTGGAGGCTTTTCATGAACAACATCTATTAAAATTAAAATAAAAAATAGTAAATCTTTGTTATAAAAGTAACAAGGTATAGGAAAGATTGCATTCTACTTTCAATCCTTATTTGTGGTTTCTATGTATTTGTGACACTAAAAAATGGAGAACCATCAACTAGTAGATTCAACTCAAAAGCATTTGTTTTTTAACTTGTCAAATAAGACATTGCGATTGTCACAACCTTCAAGACAACACAATCAAGATGAAGATCCTCAAGAATGACTTGCATTTCCTCAAATAAATAGCAAGATACAATACATATGGTATCACGATCTTAGAAGGAACTATCGATGTTTGGTGATTTTATTAGAGGTAAGAACAATTCTTGATGGTATTTCAAATTTTTTATTTGAAAGAAGTTATGAAGGCCTCAACAATGATCAAAGAATTAGGTGGTCTTTTTGCCTTAATATGAGACACTATTGATGGTTGAGAGACCCTATCAACCATCTTCGAAGAAAACAAAGATCAAAGTATGTGGCAAATACGATTTGCCGCATCTTGAATTTTTGCAATATATAATAACTGCTGCTAGTAGAACTTGTCTTTAAAAGGAGGGATAATATCACGGACATACACATGTAAACTAATAATTATCTATATGATTAAATAAAAATAGATAAAAGTAGATTAATTCTATAATATCTTCTATAGAAGCTTCCTAAAAGCTTCATAGATGCTACTTTGACTTTATAGGTATCTATAATTGATTTTTTAGGTTAGAAACATAGTCAAGAAGTTGGCCATGTACCACACATATTGGTAGCTTGAAGAAAAAGCTAACTGTGTGGCCTACACATAGAAAAATTGCCTTGTAAGCTAAGGCATGTGTCTTGCAAAGTCAACACATAATAGATGTCTTATAGAACATTGACATGTAGCTCCTAGTTAAATAGTATATATAGAAGCAAGAGTGAAACACTCTTCACTCTTGTCAATTCTTTTCTTACTTCTAGTCTGGACTCAAGAGTCTTTAGTTTCTTTATCTTTTGGCAATAGCCATTTTAATTTTTTTTTAATATACATACTACTTTATTGTTATTTTGTCACTTATCTTTTCACTCAAGTTTTTTAGATTTATGCATCTTCTTCTTATTCATGTCCTTCACAATTTGGCCTTATAAAAGCTCTTTTAAATAGAAATAATTTGAATATATTTTTTATATTATTAAAAATAAAAATAAATAAATAAGAGAGAATGAATAAGTTGTTACAAATCTATGCCTTATAAAATTGAATTTGTCATTGTAGAAATGGCCTCATCAATATTAACTTGGTTTCCAACTATGAAAAAATTAGAAACTATGTGATTTATTTAAAATTAAATAAATAAAAAAAACTAAAGTTTTTAAATATTAAAATTAGATGGTTCAAGAAGAAAATAGATTTTGACACTTTTGCTTGTATAGAGAGAGTAGAAGTATTTATGCAATAGTAACAACAATTGAGTGGCTTAAATTAAAAGAGTTAAATATACAACATAATCAAGAGGATATTTTCAACATATACAAATATAATTTATTCAAAATCATGTCATCAAAGAATAAAATTGCCATCCAACATCTCAAAGATATAAATCAAATGAAAAAAATATGTTTTTTTATTATATTTATAAAAAAAATATTTAGAAATTGAGAAGCTTTAGCCATTTATTGTTGATAGGGCCTAAAAGTCATGAACTTTCTAAGAAAAAAGTAGCAAAAAACTTGAATTCTATTACTACTAGAATAAGAGAGGTTAAATAATGTTGAATTTATTTATGAAAAAGCTCTAGTAATTATATCTCTTAGTATTTTTTTAGGATTGGCTTAATTTCATTTCACAAATTTTAATATTGTAACAATATTTTTCTATTATCTATAACTTATAGTGTAATTTTTTGGTGCTTAGCAAAATTATTTTCAATCCAAACAATGTACAAAGACCTCTAATGAACAGACTTTACATTATAAGACTACAATTGCAATATATATATATATATATATATATATATATATCAGTTGGTTTTAAAATCGACAAAGTCACTTAAATCAAACACATCTAGTGTTTATTTTTGTAATACCCAAAAAAAACTATAAACAAAAATCTTAGATTTTAATACGCCAAAGTTGAAGGTTTGTCCTATCTCTCAACAAGTTGAAGTTTTAGTGATATAGGTACAATGGCAAACATCTTCACTTAAGACTAAATACCAAGCTTTGCACATACACATAACATGTAAAAGCACAATCTTTAAAAGAAAAGAACTTGGGCAAATGATTATAGGATATATGCTTCAATGGTAGTTAGATTTTTTAGCAAAGTCTTGAATAAAGAGTTGAAGCATATTTTTTTTTGAATTGAAATAACTGAATGAATTTTATTTGATTGACATGGCAATCATCCACTTCTTTGTAGCTCTTATATACTCTTTGGAACTAAATAATTTATTTCCCTGTTTTTATTTTTTTTTGTATAGCTCAACTTGTAAACCAGTCTTGTAATTTGGCAAATCAAAATCTTGATTTATTTTATCTTTTTTTTTTTATTACTATGCAAAAAATGAGGTTATTAATTTACAAACTAGAAACAATCTTAGTTCTAGCAAATATTATCAACTAAGCAAGAATTGATAGTTAAGAAATATTAATTCGGCAATGTACCTCTGTGTATGTGTACATATATGTGTATATATATATATATATATATATTTATAGTATTAATATTTTTAATTAAATTAAATCTAATACAATTAGTAAATTTAAAATCAATGCATCTAAATAAGATGCATCATATTGATAAAGAAAAAGATGCATCACATACTACATATTTAATAAATTGAATTAAAATTATTTTTAAAAAATAATCTAAGAACAAACTTATAAATGTTACTTATTTGATTAAAACCAAAATAAAAATTCATATATTTTCAAAAAGTACATATATATGTTTAAATTATAGTACTATATGTAAATTTATTAAATAATTTGATTTTCATTACATATAGTGTTTACAAGCATAATGTAAAATTTTATTTAGAACATTGAGTGGTATTTTTTATTTTTTTAATTAATGTATAATTTAGAAAGAATGGATAATTGAGTTTTAATTTTGAGTTCAAATAAAATAGGATGTTGGATTTTGCAGCCTTTAATTAATACTATATATATTTTTCTATAATAATTTATCATATAAAAATTTATTATTATAATTCATTACATAATTATTTTAGCTTCAATACACAATTTAAAACACTAAATGTGGATATCTTCAAAGAAAATTAGCCCCTTATAATTCATCAAAAAAATCATATAGTGTTTTTAGAAGATTGTATATCATCAAGTTTTTGCAGATAAATATTTATTTGTTTTGATCTATATATCGAATACATTACAGCATATTATTACAATTTTTGATAAATTAAACTATTTTTTTCAGCAGTTTACAAAATGGAAGTACATATATTAATTATGAAAATAGTTTTTTGTGTACATATGTCAACAAAAATATCACAATAAGTTTTAATTTTAGCCTTTTTTCATTGAATAATATTGGAATATCATATTCATCATTTAAATGGTTTATCATTATCCATATGTGAAACACTGATGTCTGTTTTATTTCTATAATTCATCGTAATCAAATCAATAAAATCCGTTAAAGCATTTTGATTAAATGATGAAATAAATATCAATTTTATGCAGAGGTTTCTCTTTATTATTCTTAAATTATTATTTTTTTAAATAAAAGATTCCGTTCAAAACATAAGATGTAGACCAAATCTAATTGTAAATGAAGAACAACAAATGCTTTTTAAAACACAACCAAAATAACCCACCCTATAGAAGCTAAGAATTAAAGAAGTGAACAAGACTAATTTATATCTCATACTATTTCAGAGGTGACATGGAGCATTATTTCGTTTCAGCATCCATTTTCAATTTCTACGTTACTAGACTGATCCCAGAAGAGTAAGGGATGAGATGGATGAAAGAGACATACAAATCTATGGAAACTCCCTTGTGCCCACCAACGTTGTTGGATGAGAGTCGTCAACACGGTGGATCCTTTTTTCTCATCAGCTTGTTTAAAGCCATTGTGAGATCATGAACTTTAAAGTAAAAGCGCATCGTCCAAAAAGCTAAGGCTAAGCATGGCCTCTCCGGATCGCTGGTCTGCATAATTCAAACTAGTTGACATCGGTGTTAGGGTTTCTTGTTTGAAGAGCCCGCGAGCTCAGTCGGAGGATCCGGCGTTTTGTGAAGCTCTGAGCTAGTCGCGTCTACGCAGTTACTTCGATCGCTTGGAAGCCAGTTGCGCATTGTGTGTGCCGGGGGTTTTGAGTTTAGGGGTGGAGCTATGGGGGCCACAGGGGGAGTGAAGGACGCAGGTAGTGAGCAGGTGGTAGAGTCAGGGCACCAGGATGTGGTGCACGATGTGGCCGTGGATTACTATGGTAAGCGAATGGCGTCGTGTTCCTCAGATCGGTTGATAAAGGTGTTCGCCGTCGGCTCTGGAGATGTGCCTACAATGCCTCTCGCAAGCTTGTCCGGGCATGAAGGTCCTGTGTGGCAGGTGGCATGGGCGCATCCCAAGTTCGGGAGCATTTTGGCTTCGTGTTCTTATGATCGGAAGGTTATTGTGTGGAGAGAAGGTGCCGAGAACGAATGGCAGAAAGATCAGGTAGTGGATCCTTCCTGCCACTTTTTTCGATTTTTATGTTTTCTGGCACAGTAGTTTCCTGTCAAGATGTTAGCTTCGATGGATCCATCAAACTTGATCTATGGCGCCGAAGCTTCAGCTTTATTTTGATGTTTGTACTTCGTGGAACGTATTTCAGAAGTCGGCAATGAGATGTATGTCGAGGCCAGTAATTCTGTAAAATGTAGGGGAGGAGATTGATAGTTATTCCAGGAACATTTTGAGGTTACTTCTGGGTAAAATAGCCTGCACGGGTTCTTTTGTTTTCTTCTCTTACCATAGCTGTGTCAATACCTTTTGCATATGGCTTATCATTGGGCTATTTTTTAAGTCGTTTGTTTCTAAAGTTACTTCCGTAGCGACGGGGTTCTTGAAACTGTAATTTGGGATTTGGAGGTGGCAATGCATTTGAGAATTTCGTGGCGAAAAGAAGCACATCAATCAGTTGGAGATAATAGAGTCCGATTCTCAAAAATAAGTAAATAAATAAATAAATAAATAAAATTGTGACTTAAATTCCAATAGCTGGCATTGCTAGAATCAAAAGACTGGAATAGTGTTGACGCTTACATAGTTCTCCTTGATGTGTCCGCAGGTATTCCAGGAGCATGAGTCATCAGTGAACAGTATTTGCTGGGCACCCAGTGAGTTCGGGCTGTGTCTAGCTTGTGGGTCATCAGATGGGACTATTTCTGTTCTTACACACAAGCCGGATGGTTCATGGGAAAAAGTCAAGATAGAGCAGGCTCATCCCGTGGGGGTGACTTCTGTGTCGTGGGCGCCTGCAAGTGCTCCGGGGTCTCTTATTGGACCTGACCCAGGGCCTGTTCAGAAACTTGCGTCTGGTGGTTGTGACAACACCGTGAAGGTCTGGAAATTTGTGAATAATAACTGGAAGCTAGATTGCTTTCCTCCTCTTTCTAAGCATGTCGACTGGGTACGAGATGTTGCATGGGCTCCTAATCTTGGTCTCGTGCGTTCCACTATCGCTAGTGCATCCCAAGATGGCACAGTTGTCATTTGGACCCAGGTATGGGCATTTCTCTACTACGGCGACATGGGAAGGTTTCTTAGTTACCGTGATCCATATGTTTTAACTGACATTGTTGCTCATGGCTCATCAAGTTTTCTGTACCGCTAACGAAGGTTCTGGCTTTAGTTGTTTATTTGGTTTATGTGGAAGGTGGATTGTTCCTGATCACATTAAAGTTTTCTATGCTATTTGTATGTAGCCAGTCATTATTATCCTCAATTTTATTAATATGTGTTCGATTTCTACTCCTGCACTTGTATTGTCTGCAACTTGTGTATTAACTTCTCTTCCTGACTTGGTTGTGATACCCAGGCTAAAGATGGGGACCAATGGCAGCCTCTGACTTTGAATGATTTCAAGACTCCAGTGTGGCGGGTAAGCTGGTCTCTTACAGGAAATATATTAGCTGTGTCAGACTCATGCAACAAGGTGACGTTATGGAAAGAAGAAGTTGATGGTGAGTGGGCACAAGTTACGAGTGTGTAATAGTTTTGAACTTTTTAATTCAGCTTCGGTCATTAAAATTTCCTGTTGTAGCGTGAATGGTGTAAAGCAAATTTCGTGTAGATAGAATATAAGCAATCATTTATGATGAAGCCTGTGGAAGCTCTAGAAAGCTGCAGAGAAGTTGTCTGCATATTTGAATGGTGGACTTTTCTGGACACGTTGCTACACCACACAGTGAATCCATTCTATTTATCTTTTTAACCTCTTGATGAGGATGAGTCTTGTTTTTTGTTTGTTTTGTTTCTGTTTTTCAGTGCTTTATTTCTCGTAGTTTTTTAAAGGGTGTACTTATGGTGAGAGGAGCTTCTTGGGTCTGTTTTAGTTGCTTGAAGTTGAACGTTTTGTTCCTTTTATGAATTACCTCTTATCTGTTAGAGGGTCAGACAGAGTCGTAGCCTGGAGTAGGAGTGCTCGTCCAGCAGATTTGGAGACAAAGACGGTGCTGAGGGTGTGCGGTTGCTATCGATTGTATAGTTGCAGTGCCCCAGTAGAAGTGCACTGTTATCCATTCAATTGTCAGTTCGATCAGAGCTTGGGCTTATTGGTGGATTCTATATAATTGGGCTTCTTTTTGCAGTTCTTAACGAAGTATTGTTAACTTCTGTACTTTTATCATTTTAGGCGTTGGATTATGTTGTGGACAGAAGCAATAGGAAAATCTTTGATGATCCTAGTGGGCTTGTCGAGAGTTCATGAGAGTGCAAAAGTTGGTTTAGACTTAAAATAAGTTTGTTTGTAATAGTGGCCTTGTTTAGATTACTATGAAGATTTTGCTTGCTAATATGTATAAACTCAAGATTTCCATATTAGAACCATGTAGGGTGGTGGGAACTACCAAAGTCAGATCTCATTAATTGAAAGAACTTTGTCAAAACAAAATGTGATTACATTTACTTCAACACTTATTCAAATCGGTTGTTATCTAATTCTCAATCAATTGTGAATATTCAATTTCATATTGGCCTTATGATCATTTTTTGCTTTTTTTTGATGCAACTCTTTATTTCTTTCTTCAAGCTGTAAGTGGATAAATCTGAAGATTTGAATTCAATGAAATTGAAATGAACCTTGTATAACCGAAATTGAGAATACAATGAGCATTTCAAGAATTAGTCAAGATAGGAGTGTTGAATTTTAGGATTTAATAAAACATTGGTCAATGCTAATGCTCCATCTACAAATAAGGAGGCCTATAACTGCCATATATACAAAAACCTTAAGTTTTAAGATAGTAAGAATTTTGTAGGTTAGTAACATTTTTAAATTTTGAACATTTACGAGCTGTTTGCTAAATTTTGTAAGAACTTGACACATAAAATCAAAGTAATTTATAAATATTGCATTTATTAAATTCTTATGCAATGTGATGATTCTCAAGAACTATGTTATCCAAGTCATTGAATTCAATGCATTATCATGGACATATAGATTTATTCTAATATTTATCTATATGATTAAATAGAAATATGTAAAAGTAGATTTATTTCATAATATTTTCTAGAAAAGCTTCCTAGAAGCTTCATAGTCATTGCTTTGACTTTACATGTACTTATAGTTGATTAATAGGTTAAAAACTTAATCAACAAGTTAATCACATATTAGTAACTTACAAAACAAGCTAAGTATGTGTGCACATATAGAAAACTTGCCTTGCAAGCTAAAATACATGACTTGTAAAGTCAACACGTTTTAGAGGTCCTATGAAACATCATGACATAGTTCCTTGTTAAGAGTATATATAGAGGCAAGAGTGAATCCTTCTTCACTTTTGTCAATACCTTCCTAGTCTTTAGTCTTGTTTCAAGACTTTCTAGTCTTATTATCTTTGACAATAGTCATTCTAGTTTAATACTATATCATCTTTGAGTGATTTTCTAGCCTTTTTAAGTGACACAAGAGTGTATTGACATTTTAGTTCTTTGAGATTCATATCCTTGATAATTTAACAAGAGTCTTAATTCATTGTTCTTGTCTTGTTTTAGAAATGAGTGGCTTATTCCATTTCTATTGTTGTATTAAAGCTTGCAGGTTATCCACCTTTAAACAAACTATTTTGTTTTCTAACATTGATATCTTCCTTAAAGAAAGCGCATTATCCCTCTTTGTAAAAATCTTCATTTCATATTAGAGGTTGAGGATCATCTTCTTCTAATTTGACTTGTGGATTTGTTTAGTTATTTGAAATAGAAGGAAAAATTATGAATGCTACACTTTGCAGAAGTGAGAATAGATTTGCAACTATTAGTGATCTTCAAGAACTTGTCAATACTCTTAGGATAGAAATTTCACGCATCACAAGTACCAACTATGGAATTATTAATCCTATGCATATCAAAGAAGTTATGAATCTATGTCCAGAAGTTATGCAGTTGAAGGAAGCAAATAAATTGACCTCACAACTAAATCCATAAAGTTTTGCTTTTGCAAGTACAATAAAGAAAATGATTAGTACATCCAAGAAGTTTGATGAAACAAGATCAAAATTTTGAAGATTTTGGCAACAAGTCAAGCTCTATTTAAGATTGCATTTCTTTCAATATCTTGATGGATTTATTCAAGTTGGGTTCATAAAGGCACTTCTATTTAAAAGTGTTTTGTCTTAAATTGTACCTTTGATGGAAAATGATTCATGACTCTTTTATAATTTGAATTCATTCTTAGAAGTGTTTACGGCCATATTCAAAGAAAGTGATTGAGAAAGAATAGTAGAGATTAAGCTCTTATCTTTATGACAAGGATTATGATCAACTATCATATATGTTGTTGAATTCCAAAACCTTGCTTGTGATGTGGATTAGAATGACAAAGCCTTCATCAATCAATTTTAATATGGATTGAAGAATAATATCAAAGATTTGTTATTGACAATGTTGAAAGTAGAATCTTTGGAGTAAATTATTGCTTAAGCCATTACATGCAATAATTGATTATTTGAAAGGCGTCAAGAATAAAGACTTGCTTGGAAAAAAACAAGCCAAGTAATGATGATAGCTTTCACGTTTTGAGAAACTTATTTATGAAGATTAAAATCAATGCAAATTGATATAATACATTTTAAATCCCTCATTCATCAAAAAAAGACTCGACATCATCAAAAAGATTTATACTTATAATATGGAGAAGCTAAGTACTTTTTTCAACATTATCCAAAGAAACAATACAATCACAAAATGAAGACTACAATTGCCAAAAAAGACAATGTGTCAAAAATGAGTTTCTCTAGCTACAATAGGGACCATGCCACTAGAATCATATGTAACACCTAGTAAAGGACATATTTTCTTCTCAGATCCCTCACCTTATTGTACAATAGATGTATGTTTAAGACCTAAAAATCACAAAGTCTTTGCATTATTAGATTCAAGAGCCTCAGCCCGTTTTATTGATAAAGATTTTGTCAAGAAACAAGAAATATCTTTAATCAAGAAAATTAAATCCATATATGTAGAAGTCATATATAATTATTTATTGTCTTCTGGAGATGTTACTCATGAGATTATTTCTTTAGATGTAGCAATTAAAGATCATTATAGTATATTAGTATTTAATGTAATAAGATTTCTTTCTAAACCAATTATTTTAGGATTATCGTGGTTAGAAAAATATAACCTTCAAATAGATTAGATTTCTTGTGATCTTAATGTTTTTTTTAGTTTAATCTAAAATCTCAATAATGAAGTAGAAATAGATAAGCCTAATATATCTAAATTCATACTAGTAGGTGCAAGAGCTTTTATATATAGTGACTCAAAAAATTATTTCAATATTGACATATTTTAGAAAGAATGGCGTATTATACATGAATTGTAGTGAATAATGATACATGGTTTATAAAGCAAATAAATCATTTTTTTACAGCTATTAAATGAATCCAAATTGAAAAGGATCTATTAGATAATTGCAGAACTATGTCTAATCTAATTTGAAGTAGTATTGAAATATTTTTTTTGAATGTGGTATCCAATTACATATCAATACTTTGTAGGACCTCTTTTGGCCTTGATAACTGCTTCCAACCTCCTAGACATACTTTCTATTAACTTTTGGCACAAAACTACTTCAATATTATTTCATTCCATAGCTATTCTTTTCTATAATTTCCAAACTCTTTTTGGTTTTATCTTCCAAGTGTTGAGTTGGCATTTGAGATGCTCCCAAAGATATTCAATGGAATTAAGATTAGAAGACTAAGTAGGCCAATCTATTATTTTAATGCCATGATGATCAAATTACTTCCATGCTAGTTTTGAATTATGCTTGGAATTTTTATCTTGTTGAAAAATCACCTCTTCTTCAAAAATACCAAATTCTTTAATGCTAGCTAGTAATTTTTTTTCAAAAATTTCTACAAATTGCTTAGCATCCATTCTTTCTTCAATCCTTATCATCCTCCTTATTCCATTCCATCCCATATAATCTCATACAAATATATTTTTACTCTCATGTTTAATTATTTTTTTGGATCTTCTTGTCAAGTAAAGTCTAATTCTTTTATTTCTATACCCACTTTCTGCCATCTAATCCAAATTTGTTGATTTTTGTCTCATCTGACCAAATAATCCTCTTCTTATCTTTTATAGTTCATTCCTTGTACTTTAGAACAAAATCCAAGCATTATTTTCAATGGCAAGTAGATAGTAGTGGCTTTTTTTTTCTTCACCGAGGCTTTCATATTCCATTCCTTAAGAACATTTAAAATAGTTTGGATTGATAGTTACTGATAATATTATTAAGATTTTTAGCAACATCAATAGCATTTCAAGCCTTTTTAATGTTGATTTGGCAAATAATTGCCCTTTCATTTACTACAATGAGGTTCTTTGGTTTGCCTAATTTAAGGTACTCCTTATTAAAAGTGATCTTTTTTGCTAGTCTAGAGATAGTAGCTTTATTATACCCAAGTTCAAAAGAAATTTAACCATAAGATTTTTGAAAATGAAGAAGACTAGAGGTGATGTTGTCTTAGAGAGAGGGGGAAATGAGTCTCATAGTTGTTCAAGGAATTATCAATGACACAAGAATTTGACAAAGAAATATGTCAAGATTAAAGACAAAGAATGAAATTGATAGCAAAAGTGGTTCCAAAGATTCCTATTTATACTATAATGAAGGTTACAAAAGTCTATGGTACTTTCTATGGAAGTTTTTAGAAGTCTAAAGAGGCTTCTAAAAGCCTATAGAACTTTCTAAAAGATTATGGAAGCTTCTA